ATCTCGCTGGACCCATCCCTCACGGGCAACTTCACAGTCATTTCCTTTGCGAAACCAACCTCTTCCATTCCCCCAGACACTGCCCCCGCGTATTTCTGCCCCTAGTGACCCCACAGGACAGAATAGAAGCCTCATCGGGTTTCAAGGCTGTCGTTTTTACCACATCTTTCTCCCAGAGGCTGTGGGTGTGAACCCCGGACAGCTTGGTTCTCAGCCAAGCGCTTAGCCACTGTGTCATGAGGGCTCTTTAGATAGAAGCAAGGCCCCTACAGTTCTCCAGTACAACCCTGTTTCCCAATTCATCAGTGTGCTGAAACGTGATGTTATATTTTTTCACGCTTTCTATGACAGACCCCGTGAGGTCAGGAGTATGCTTTTATATTTTTACTGTGCCTGAGCTGATGCTTAATAAATATTCCTCCGATGAGGAAATGAATGAATGCATCACTAGGAGGAATAAAATGTTGGTTTAGACCCACTATCTTTTGATGGTGCAGTGCACCGGAACCCGAATGTTGATTCAGACAATAGATGAGTAGATGTTTATCCTAGTTCTTCGCCACCATGCATCATTACGCGAGCTTTAAAAAACAACAACTGGGTATCGACATATAAATCTTATTCATGGACAAGCTCAGAAGGAGCCCGTGTTTGGTCGAATGCTTTGATGTTGCCGTGTGGAAAGTCTTGGTGCTTTTCCAAGGCCCTTGCCGTTGGTCTTTTGCACCGAGTGTCGCAGCTGGTTCTGAAGCCATTCACGCCTCCCCCCAGAGGGCTGACGGCACCCCCTGGAGGGGTGCCACCGAGCAGTGTCTGGGAAACATGGCAGTTTCCATAGCCGTTGATGGGAGCTCATTCCGCAAGTTACAAAGGGAATCACTTCTGGTTTGAAAGGCTCCCGGGAGCCGGGACGGTATGCTCTGGCACTGCTGAATGTCGAGAGGGAGGATTCAGGAAAGCCCTGGCTCTGAGCCCATCCTGGGTCAAATGTCCGCAGTGAAAGGGAAGAAGGTGTACTTGGCATTTCCACGGGGTGCCATAGTGTATCGAGCAAGAAAGATGACCTGACCCGGTGGTAAAGTTAACTAAGGGATGGGCATCAGACCTTTGGACAGGGGCAGCTGTTCAGTGCTTGCTGCGGGTGCTGTTTCCGTGGTCTTGGAGTCGGAGCAGCCGTGGTTAACACGGGGTGAAGTCCCTGCCTGGCGACAGGATCTGTACCATCTGGCTTCATTCCTTCGTGCCCAGTTGAAATCCCATCCAAACGCTCCGGTGGCCTCAGGCACCTGCTGATTCATGGTCCTCTTAATGGAAACGGAGGAAATCCACTCCGGGATAGACGCACCCACGCACAGCCACGGAGAGGATGCTGACTCATAGCAACGCTGCCGGTCAGAGGAGCGCTGCGCCGTAGGGGTTCCGAGGCTGTAAATCTTCGCAGGGGCTGAAGGTCACATCATTCCTGAACCTTCTCTGTTAGCAGTCCAATGTTTAGTCCATCGTACCCCTGGGCTCCAGCGGAACATTTTGAAGCACAGGCAGCACCAAGGGACTCGGAAAGCCATCTGCCATCATCCTGTCTCACAGGGACCACGTGGCACAGGGTAGAACTGCCCCTGTGGCTCTCTAAGACTGTCACTCTTTATGGGGGTAGAAAGCCTCCTCTTTCTCCCAAGGGCTCCAGCGCCAGTGAAAGGCACCTCTGATCTCCCCATACAATCCCTGTGGGCTTGAGGGTTTGGGATTTCCTCTGAGCTTCATCTGACTTCCTTTCTGAGAGGAGCCCTGGGCTCAAGTAGTGGTTACTTCTTGGGCTGGTGGTTCGAAACCACCAGCCCTGCACCGGAGGAAGACAAGGCTTCCTCCTTCTGTAAAAAGCGACAGCTTAGGAAACCCACACGGAGTGGTCGGTCCCGTCCTACAGAGTTGGGATCAGATGGCAGTGAGTTTGGGGGTTTGATTTTTTTCTCACCCGAAGGCTCGTCAGAAAGAGGAGAAGACATTTCTTTCTGCCAAACGGGCTAGGTTTTCCTGTTCCTGGTCCTTTAAACGTGTGTCCGCCAAGCTATGCTCATCTTCCTCGCCATTTCTAAAGAACGTGTCTTGCTAAGATTTCTCTTTTCAGCCACAGTCTGACAAGGGGAGCACTTTTAGCACGAGTCTTTCGGTTTTTGTTTGACGTTGTGTTTTCTGCCTTCCTTTCTCTAACTGGTGTCTGATCGTTCTTTCTTTCTGGACCCCTTCCCCCTCCTCCCCCAGCCCCTTCCCCTGTATTTTGTTTAGGCATTATTGCTGTTTTCAATCAGAACTCCCGCCCACAGGCCTGCCATGAACTTACAGAAATCATATATTCCCCCTCCAGGGGGACAAAATTTTACAAATCTTTCAATATAGACTCACAAACTCAGACTTCCTTTCCGGAATCTATCTTTATTCGAGTGAAGCAATATAGGAACAACTCTGAAAAGATGCTGAACTCAGAATAGCTTAGAAAGCAGAAGTGGGGTTTCCCCAGATTTCTCTCGGAGAGATAGATATAGATATATGGTCATTGGACATCATTTGACCATCTTCCTTCTCTTTGCCCCAGACAGCTGGGGTGGGGGATGTTGCAGGGGTGGGGCGGGGCTCAGGTGGTGAGAAAGGAGCAGCAACTTGCAGAAACCCCCAGAGAAACTGTTACTATGTGTAAATGTCTTAGCATGGTCAGTCACGTGTCAGAGTCACGGGTACAGAGGTGTCCCTCACAGTGCTTAACAGGTAGTGTTCATTCTCTCCATTCCACAAAGCCAGGTGGGGCACGTCCTCTGCCAGGCACTGTTCTAGGCACTAGGAAGATAGCAATATCCACACTCTCTGTGGACACTCGAGGGTCTTGCATTTCTTACATCCTCCCAAAGATCTTCTGGAATGGGCAGCATTGTCACCCCTGTTTGGCAGACAAGGAGATGAGGCTAAAAGGGGTTCACGTCGGCCCCAAGGACACAGAGCAAGGGACGGGTCAGCTGAGACCGAGCTTCGATGGAGCTGCGTCTCTGTGGCTGCACTTGTAACCGCCGGGCTGGGCAGTGGGCCAGTTAAGGACACCAGGGGGGCCAACTGCAGGGGCGTTTGAGGCCAGAGAACTGGAGCTGGCATAGTCTGTACCTTCAGGACCTGAGGGAGTAGAGATAAAGGAGTCAAGAATGACTCTCATGGCTTTGGGACTTGAAAATGGAACGAAGGGTGCTTGGACTCTGTCGCCTTAATTCAGGGAGGCAGTTGTGGGTTTGTTTGTTTGTTTGTTTTAAAGGAGCCCTGGTGGCAAAGTGGGTTATGCCTTGGGCCATTGACCGTAAGGTCAGCAGTTCAAACCCACCGGTCCCTTCCATGGGAGACAGATGGGGCTTCCTGCTCCCGTAAAGATTTGCAGTTTCTGAGCTCCCCCTGCCCCCCAGGGTCGGGTCTACTCTGCCCTACTGGGTCGAGGTGGCAGTGAGTTTGGTGTTGGTGTTTTGACTGGTTGTTACGGAGCCTTGGTGATACAGTGAGTGGGTTCAACCACAAAGTCAGCAGTTCAAATCCACCAGCGGCTCGGAGAGTGAGAAAATGGGACAGTCGGCTTCCATTCAGATGTACAGCCTCAGAAACCTGGGGAGCACAGTTCTCCTCTGCACACACAGGGGTGCCAGCGCTCAGAATCCTCTTGCTGGCCGTGGGTTTGGGGGTGGTCGTCAATTGCCACTGAGTCGATTCCAACTCCTGGGGCAACGGGGCAAGTGCTCCCCGGGGTGCTCGGCGCGGGAGCTTCTCAGAAGCAGATCGCCAGGCCTGTTTTCTGCGGCCAGTCTGGGTGGGTGGGAACCCCTAACCTTTCAGTCAGCAGCTGCTGGCCTTCGCCGTTGACACCAGCCACCCCAGAAACCAAGTCCACGGCTGTGGAGTCCACTTGGACGTATGGCGGCCCTCGGGGACAGAGTAGAACCGCCCGTGCGGGGAAGAGCCTCGTCTCTCTCCCGTTGGGAGGCTGGCGGGTCCCAACTGCTGACCTTGAGGTTGGAAGCCCACCGCGTAACCCACGACGCTGCCAGTCTCCTTTAACACCACCGAGGGGCTCCCAGGGCAGGGTGGGGATCGCCATTTCACAGACGCTTCCAGTCCATTTGATGCCTTTTCTCCCTCTGGTGTTTGTACCCTGGCGTCCTGCCCAGACTGAGAGGGGAGCTGTGACGCTTGCGCAGAGCAGATCTAAAAACAATATGCCCCCACGAAAGGGTGAAAGTCCTCGACCTCTCTCCTTGGCCCTCCACCTCTTGGCCACCACCAAGGGTGGGCCAATGACCCTTCAAGGTCTGGCTCAGAATAGGAATCCACTGGAGGGCTGGGGAATGAATGAGTGACCCACGTCCCCGCACGGCCCATAACCAGCCTCCCAAGCCCTCCTGCCAGGCTCAGCGGGGTTGGTATGGTTGTTCAAGCACTCAGCTCACACTGGAAAAAACAGGATGGTAAACATGATCTCTAGGCACCTGCTCGGAAATGAGAAAAGACCAGGAGGAGAGTGTGACGGTGGACGGAGGTCACAGCCTATGGTGTGTCTGCTGGTCTGTCACAGACTCCGCCGCCCACCCCCCGGGGAGTCAAACCAATGACAGAGAAATGTGCAGAGGCAGTGGGGTGGGGGGTGCCCCCAGAAGATGAAAACGGTCAGGAGCGTCCATCAAAAGAGCCTCGCTCAACCCGGAATAGCCTGGCTTAGCTCGTAAACACTGCCTGCCTTGAACACCAGGCTCCTTCAAGATCTGTCTCCATGGATTCAAACTGGCCAGGAGTTGCAGGAGCCGGTGGATGTTCACAAGGGAGGAACAACTCAGCCACACAGCTCCAGGAATGGCCTCATGTCACCGGACCGGACATGCAGACATGTTGGATTCGTGCATATTTTGCTGTGTGTGATCTCAACAACAGCAACAAAATAAATAAAAATTAACACACACCCAAAAAAAAAACCCAAACAAGTATTGACTGGGTCTGGTTTGGATTTTCTAAGACATGTTAACATCTAAAGGAAATACTGATAGGTCATCCAGCCCATGGGTGCCCCCGGGAGAGAGAGCATGATCTGCTTCAACACGCATCCCCCTGGACACAGCTGTTTAAATTGCATGGGAGTCAGGCCATCCCAGAGCCCTGCCCTGACACACACAAACCACACACAAACCGGGTGGCACAGACATACTTCCCCACCCGTCCCAGTAATCAGACCACATAGGTGTGATCCACTCTCTCCATCCCACCAAGACAGGGCAGTCGGGGATGTTTTCCTCACCACCAGAGTGAGAGGACAGATGGAGCCTGGGGACCATCTGCCTGCCCATCCGTCTCTCCGACTTGCCGGCTTCTTTGCTTTCGTGCCACTCAGCACACGTGGACAGCCCACTGGGCCTCGGGCTGCCTTTGGGGGCTCTTTGGGCAACTCTTAGGGCAGAGGTTCGAGATGGGTATCTCTTCGGGCCCCCGGGGGGTCCTGGAGGGGCCTGGACGCCTGGGTCTCAACCTGTGGCTTTTGAACTTGGTGTAGAACTTGGGGAAGGTGGGGCTGGAGAAGTAATATACCACGGGGTCCAGCATGCTGTTCATGTAGGTGAAGCTGAGGGTGACGTGGAGGACCACGTGGACAGACGGGTCGCAGGCGCTGGAGGACACGGTCCACAGGAAGTAGAGCCTGGCCGACACACTGGGCAGGTAGCAGATGGTGAAGACCACGGCCACTACCACGATGAACCGCATGGCCTTCCTCATCCGCTTCTGCCTGGCCAGCTGCCGCCTCCGCTGCAGGCTCCACACCACCCTGCCGGAGCAGAAGAGGATGATGCCCAGGGGCAGAAAGAACTCCAGCTGGAACATGACATCGTGCCAGCCGTTGGCCGACTCCATGATGAAGCTCTCGCAGGAGATGGCCTTCCCCCGCACGCACAGGTGGCTCTCCGTCAGCAGGTACACCGTGCCCACTATGACCACGGCCCAAAGCGTGCAGGCCACGCCGGCGGCCGTCCGGTTGGAGATGGCGTTCACAGCGTGGTGGGGGTGGACCACTTTGAAGTACCTGTCCACGGCCACCACGGTGAGGAAGACGATGCTCCCAGCCCGGTTCATGGCCAGCATGAACAGCACCAGCCGGCAGGGGATGTCCTCGAAGGCCCAGCGCCGGTGCCTGCGGTAATAGTCCGTGCGGAAGGGCAGGCAGACCATGAGCAGGAAGTCGGCCACCGCCAGGTTGAACAGGTAGATGGTGCTGGGCTTCCAGGTCTTCATGTGGAAGCAGAAGCCGCAGAGAGCGACGCCATTCCCCACGGCGCCCAGCACAAAGGCGAGGATGAGCAGGGGGGGCATCACCTTGGAGATGGGGTCCCCCTCAATGAGACAGCATGAGCCATTGTTGTCCATGGTGGAGGAGCGAGCGCCAGCACTCCAAGTCCCCCAGCCTCCGACAAAGGCAGGGTGCTTGTCTGAAGCAAACCCCCTCACCTAGTGGCTGCAGCTCCCACCTCAGGGCCCTGGGGTGCCAGCCCGGCCAAGCCCAGGTTCAGGGCAGACCTGCCGCTGCTGGCCAGGACGCAGAAACTCACCGGAGAGTCCTACCTCTGAGGCCGGATCACCGGCTGGCTGACTGACCAAGGGACCAGGACCGGAGGGGGATGCAGTTTGTCCCAGGCGATCCCTTCTGGGATTGAAGGGGTGCCGTTTGGTGAGCTTTTTCCTTCCTGGCTCCCCGCTTTCCCCAGCAGGCTCGCTCTGGGCTGGAGAGTTTTGCAAAGCTGCCCAGAAGGCACGAAAAAAGCTTGTTTGTCATCCCTCCCGGTGGAGAAACACAAACATTTCCTGGAGTCGTTCTGGGCCCCTGCCTTCGCTGTCCCGCCCCCTAACCTTTGCCTGACTGCCCCGTCCTCTCCTCAGTCCCCTCCCGCCCCCCTGCCCCCCCCACCTCCCGGGAGCTCCCAGGCAGGACCAGATAGGGAGGCTTTGCACCCAGCTATTTCCTGTGCCCCCCACACACACTTGAGAACTCTGCTGCTGGAGCTGGGGTGGCGTACTGGCTACTCATTGGGCTGCTAACCACAAGGCCAGCAGTTCGAAAGCACCAGCCACAACTCGGGAGAAAAACGAGACTTTCTACTCCCATATGAGTTACGGGCTCAGCAAGGGGCCGTTCTGTGCTGTCCTATAGGGTCACGCTGAGTCAGAATTGACTGACTGGTGGTGAATGAGCGAGCGAGGGAGTGAGTGAGAGTCTAGAAAGGGGGTGCCCAGAAGGAATACTCCCCAGACAGCCTGGGGTGGGGGCTGGGGGGTACAGAGAGACTTCCAAGGAGGCCACCTTCCCATCCCCAAGTCCCCTCCTCCCCTGCCCTTTACATCCTTCCCTAGATTCCAGGGACCTGAAGTGACCGGTTACACAAACTGGAGACGGTGAAAGGGCTCTGAAGCAAAACCCCACATCTCAGGCATCTGCCTCCCCAGATCCTCCCTCCGCCAGGAAGCCATGCCAGCGATGTTGGCAAACTCGGACTTGGCTCTGCATCCCCACGGGATGTCTCAGGAGCCCACCGCCCCGAGATCCTTGAACTTCTCCTCCAAGTCCCTGTGCAGTGGGTAGGTCAGGGGTGGGGTTTCAGGGTGAAATGAGGGTGGGGAGCTCTCACAGGACAACAGTTTAGTGCTTGGCTGTGAACCGAAAGTTTGGGGCTGCAAACCCACCCATGCCTCCTCGGGAGAGAGACCACCCACTGCTGTTGGTCCGACTCATAGTGACCGACCCTCTAGGCCAAGGTGGAACTGCCACTGTGTGTTCCCACAGCTGTACATGTTTCCAGAAGCAGATGGCCCCACCTTTCTCCTGCAGAGTAGTTAGTGGCTCCCAACAAGGACTGGCCTTGAGGGTGGCTCCCCAGGGAGACACTGGGGACCAACCCCAAAGCAGTCCTCTGCTGACTCAGAGCACCCCATGTGACAGGGTCTAGCGGCCTCACGGGGTGTCCAATGCTGGCATCATTACAGAAGCAGATGGCTCAGCTTTCTCCTGCAGAGGAGCCACTGGCTCCAGTGACCGACCCTTTGGTGGGCAGCCAAGCACCAAGCTGCCGAGCTACCAGGACTCCTTTCTATAAAGATGGCAACAGCCTAGCAAACCCTGTGGGACAGTGCTACTGTGTCACACGGGGTCACCGTGAGTCAGAATGAACCACGGCATCCGATGTTCTGCTGGGGTCTCCTGCTGAAATGCCCTCTTTGGCTGTGGAGACTCTCCCAAGGCAATGCCCCTGGCTCAGCACCTGAGTAAAGCCCAACTCAGAAGGTAGAACCCTTTCCCAAATGGAGACCTCTTTCTTCCCACCGGGCGCCAAGCTCTTGATCAGCCCGGAGCCATCCCCACAGCCTCTGACCTAGCAGAGCCACCTCCACCGGCCACCCGGGCTGGCGCAACCGTCCCCGACTGGTTACTCTCCTGCTGTCCATTCCCCGTCTCTCCTCGTCTCCCACACCGCTGAGCTGTCGTGTTCCCAAAGCCCGCTCTCTCCACTCTGACTCACAGAGGCTCCCTCACACAGGGGAGAACGGACACTGCCCCTTTCTGACACAGTAACGCTTTCTTAATTAGTTGGGAGTGAATGCATGCATCATTCTGTAGTTCCATCACGTCAGGCAGAACTGTACCTTTGCTACGACAATCGTTTTCCAAACATTCTTTTTCTTCCCGGATCCCTTGACATCGTCTCCCTTGAACCTCCCTACCCTCCCACAGGACACTGCCCCGCCCACCTAAACCTTCATTCTACTTGCTGTCCCTTTAGGTTCATCAATCCTGGGTTGCATAAAGCGAAACACAGAAAAGCATTTAACACGACTTCAGGAGGGTGACCTCCACCTCTGAGAGACACCCTAACATGAACAAAGAAACAAAACATACACAACAGGTTGAAAACCAGATCACGTCCAGCGTGCCAACTCTTTTTGCGTGTGTGGCAAGTTTAATTTCTTATTTATTTTATGACCAGCACAGTCTATAGAACAGCAGGACACATTTTGAGAAGTGGAAGTTTTACACGATCTATTCGTTAGAATTTCTTTCTTCTTCTTTTCTTTCTTTCTCAAATAAATCATTTTACTGGGGGCTCTACAGCTCTTATGACAGCCCATACATCCATGGTATCAAGCATGTTTGTGCATATGTTGCCATCGGCATGCTAACTCCTGACAGGAGTAGAAAGCCCCGTCTTACTCCTGGGAGTGGTTGTTTACACGTGCCGACTCTGGTTATTCGCCTGTGTGCAACCTCTACGCCGCCAGGGCTCCTCCCAAAAGCACCAAACCAAACCAAACCAGAAAACTGAGCTCACTGCCATCGAGGCAATACGGATTCATCAGGGGCACCAACAACAGAACAGTGGGTGAAAGGAGACATGAAAAAAATAACAATGTGTCAATGATCCAGGGTTCCTGAGGGAGGGAAGAAAATGAGCTGACACCGAGGGGAGGGGGGCGGTTCCGCCTCTCCGTGAGTTTGCAATGAGCAGATAAAAAATATGAAGTTCTTGTACCGAGGTCAGCGGTTCTCAACCTGTGAGTCCAATGACCCTTTCACAGGGGTCGCCCGATTCATCACAGTAGCAAAATGACAGTGATGAAGTAGCAACAAAAA